CCCCAAAACCCCAAAACCCCAAAACCCCAAAACCCCAAAACCCCAAAACCCCACTTCGTTCAATATACGTTGAGGTGACTTAAATTCATTACTAAATATTTTCAGAATGTAAGCTCAGTATTCTGATTATCTTGTCATTTATCTCCATATTCGAGTTCTGTAGATAGCTCTGAAGGTCCCTGTACAAAACTCTGGATGGAATATCATCTATAAATGAATGAGAGAGCGAGGATGATGAAAGTGTAATTACTCCTGATTAGGCTCTCGCAATTGTCTAGAGTGATAAGCTATAAGCATACTAATAAGTCTCTCACACTTGTTTTGAGTATTGTTTTTAAACTTCTCTGTTTTCTTAAGATTTTTTATCCCTATAAGCAAATTATATAAGAGATCTTTACTTTTCCTCCACCTTCTTGACTGATCCTTAGCATCTTCAGGCTTGCGTCCATATTTCATGCTTTCTATCCTGCTTACAATAAATTGTAATGTTATTTTCTGAGCTTGCTTGCCAATGGGTTCTTTCTTTACTTCAGGGTTTGCCTAAATATTCCCATAAATAAATACCCTGAAATACTCAGTAATATGTTCAACACCAGGACTAATATCATCTTTATTTGATAATGTAGGACAAAAAGGAGTAGAGTCAGATTCTTGACTTGATAAACTTTCATCGCTTTCTTCTCTTAGACTATGAATCTTATCAAAGCCAGTAATCCTAATGTCTGGGCTCCCGACTGGTAGCCTCACTACTGGACTCTCTTGCTGCTGTACTGCATGCTAAAAGATTAAAAATAATTCCATACATATTTTTCTAACTGCTTTTTAACTTCTAAGTCAATCTTCTTCAACTGAGAGAGGATATCTTCTGAACTAGATCCATGTAAAAGTGTTGGCTTAGGAGATTTTTCAAGATTCTCATCATCCAAGTTGATTGACTTTCTGGCAACTTTAACGTTCACTCCAAGCCTTCTTCTAAAGTTTGAAGCTGATTTTCTCAAGTCGTTGGAGTCGAGAGGGCTGATAATATTTCCTTTCTAAGAGATTATCCAACGGCTCACCTCATTTCTGTCTGTAATTGGCAACAAAGGTTTGTTAAGAGAATTTAATGGCGCTTTATTTGGCCTTATCTATACAAATTAACTGTGTATGTACTCTTCATCGCAAGGGAGGAGTGCACTGACCTCATCATACTTGATTTTGGAGCCTTCTTCAAGTCTCTAATCGTTGACAATCTTCTTGGCTTAAGTTTATCTCCTCTAAGAAATGAGGTGAAGAAATTACAAATGCGTTTGCTTTTCAGAATCATTCTTAGATCCTAATATTGAACTTCTACTAGATGTGACTCCAAGGTTGATAGAGCCTAGTATAAATCAGCTTTAATCCTACTTCCTCTCTTCTTGAAACCTTTGAAGTCAATCTTGCCTTCTCCAAACTCAGTGATTATGTTTATAGTCTTGACCTCAGCTCGTCTCTTTGCCTGATCTTTCATGGCATCAAACCTTTTCTCTTTCTCAAGCTTGATGTAATTATGAATGGAAGGAGACTCATCTGAAGTAGGCTTCTGCACAAGCTTGTGTGAGCAGATGTACTTCTTGGTCTCACTAGGATCAGGAGGAGTGCTGATCCTCGCATACTTATTTATGAAAGTTCCTCACCTTTAGTACTGGATCAGGTAATGCCTTTTCTAGAAGGATTATAACAGATAGCTAACTTTTATCAGTCTCATCCTCTTCTTCTAAATATTCAGCTCCTGGAGGATAATTCTGGATATTAGAGATGGAAGAATACTTTAAATTTCCACCCTTCCGGCCATGATGACTTTATGGGGAATTCTCCTCGAATATGCTTGATTGTTGAAATCCCCGATCCTAAATGAATCATTTTCCCGAAATCATCGTCCTTGTTACTAAATTTGTTGAAATAATTTACAATCTATCATATGATATGGTGGGAAATTGGTTTTCCACTTGGAAGTATTGACCTTTGCGTCTAAATCCTATAGATTCCTCCCTCTTAATTTTCTTATTTACACGTTCGACTTTATTCTTAGCCTATTATGACTTATTAAGAAAAATAGATAGTGATTTACCTTTATTAAATCTTTCTTAATATTTTTGCTATAAATTTGAAGGAAAATTTTACTCGACTACTTCTCTTATGGCTGGAGGTATGAAATTTCCTGATTTCACCTCCCTGACTTTCTCTTTGGCCCATTCTCTATAAAAATTATACATTTTGACAGGTTTATTCAAGGGAATTGATTAGGAATAGAATGAAAAATACATACATCAGGACAGTATCTCGTTGCTTCATCTCTATTTCCCTGCGTTTAAGATGGATATCCTCAGTCTGTAGCAAAGTCGAGGTGAATCCTCTGTCTAGTAGTCTTTCCTAAACACAGAATTTATCTATTTTTCGAACTTTTCGAAAATGTTGCCTTACTTTGGATTCCACAACTCTGTTCATTATTTTGGAAAGCTTGTATTTCTTGAGTCGTTTCCTATGCAACGGTTTCCAAATGATAAGCATTAGAGGAACTTTACCCATTGTTCATGATAGAGCGATCCATTGAGATAGCTTTACCTAGAATCTGTCTGCTATTTGGAATTCTTTCAGTCAGAAAAACTCTGGCTAAGAGTTAACAGTAAGCAAGTACCAGAATTAGGCTCTGTGGAGGGGTCTTGAAATGACTCTTTAGCTTTCCTCTGCTTGATAGCCAAGCTATTTATACTTTGACTTGCTTTCATTAATAATAATTTATTTCAAGAGTAATATAAAATTTAGGGGTTTTGGGGTTTTGGGGTTTTGGGGTTTTGGGG